ATCAGGTAAAACTTGTAACCAACTGTAAAATACTTTCCAAGGTTCTCAAAATAGTTGTTATTCTTGCCACTGGCAAATAAACAGAAGACACAGCCTTATGCAAAATCACAATACAAGAACACGTCTCTTCAGCACAAGTCAATGTTATTATTCTGACGGTTAACAACAACTGAGCAAACACTGGGACAAAACAAGACTGCTACTGTCACTAACACTCCAGCCTGTAGGGACCTACTCTTGCCACACACTGTCCAGCATAAACCGACAAGAGAGGCAAGCCTAACAAGAGACTGTTTAAATCAAAGTTTGCATCTAGTGCAGCAACGACCGGAAGGACTATACATGTTTCTCCAGAGTATGTGGACTGGCAGGACTAAATTGTTACTTAGAAAATGATCCGTGCTGTGAATGTATAAAAGCAAGCTGACAGTATTCAACACCATTCGAAACACAAACAGCAAACAAAATGTAATAGGCAGGAAATACCTGGAGCTTGTCTTCGCCGTTCCTAGCCAGGCTGCGACAGGCTGCGTCTAGTTCCTCGCCCAAAGATGTAAGGACTGCCTCTTGCTCCGATTCCATTTCCAACACCTTCTGCTCCAACTTAACAAGTTCCGACTCCGAAACACGTCTCCGCTCGGCTGACCTGACCTGTGGAGAACGGCAGACAGCCGAGTGGAGAAGAGGTGCTGCAAATTAGCTGGTGTTTCAATTCATGCCATTTTAGTTTAAAAGACACTGATAAGAACCTTTTTTTTTTTCTTCTTTCGTAGCATAAATGACATTTATGTCACCTGTCACAAGATTACTGTCAGATGTTCTGGTTTTCCTCAATAAACACATTCAGACTAAACTGTGGGCATCAGAGACTTGTTTCTTTAGCTACAGTAGTTTCAGGGTCTCTACCAGGACACAGTCAATCAATTCATTCAAGGATGGAAACCAAGTGATCAGTTCTGCCCTGGGAACATGGATCATTATCCTGTCCCTGAGATAATAAACTGCCCATGTTACATTAATAAGAGCCCTTTTTCTGCATGCAGACGACTTCAAATCAATAAATGGTTCCTGTGACCCATGCAACGTATCAGGGTCCTGTCAAAGAGGTGAATTGGGATTCAATACTTCATCTGCTGTTGTGAAGCCACTAAGGACATATTGATACTCTTTAAAATAGTGCTGATTTGGCACCACTTAACCCCTGGAACTGTTCTTATGTTTGGATTATCTGTCCTGAACACCTTCTTTTGAACAGTGGAAAGTCGAAGCCTGATGGGCTCAGATTTTACCATCTGACTAAATGATACACACACGTTAAACAGCTGGATTGAAATCACTCAGCGGGAAAGTTAGAAGCAGCACAATGTCTCTCTCACAAACTGAACTCAGCCTCAGTGCTGGAAGGTGTGCCTCACTCTGAGCTAAAGCAAGAATTCCCACAGTTGGGAATTTGAAAAAGAATCACAAAAAGGGGAATGAAATGTTGCAGCACTGAGTTATACTGTTAAGCGTTATTATCATGGCTGGAGAGCAATGGGTGTAAGGGCTCCGTCTATAGATAACAGTACTGTCTATAGATATTCCCTGGAGCCACTTTTTGGGGAAGAATCTTGCAAAAAAAGTTATAAAATGTCACCAATTCTTGGGGAAAAGTGCTGATGATGATGATCTCTGCTGAGAGTGAGAGCGCCGACATGTAGAAAATAATCCCATTTCTAAACAGTTGATGCAATAATTTTGTTAAACCCTGTGAACCAAAGGTGAAAGTCTGCACTTGAGTCATATTTGATGTAAAATCCACTGTGGTGGTGTACAGAGGTTATAACGTGTCAGTGTCCAGCACCGAGTTTCTGTCACGGAGTCGCTGACTGCTCGCACATAGCCAAATGTGTTGTGTTTCTACCATGCAACAAATATCAGATATTCTTAAAACGTAACATTAAAACGGGGCGATCGTGGCTCAAGAGTTGGGAGTTCGCCTTGTAATTGGAAGGTTGCCGGTTCGAGCCGGTTGGACAGTCTCGGTCGTTGTGTCCTTGGGCGAGACACTTCACCCGTTGCCTACTGGTGGTGGTCAGAGGGCCTGGTGGCGCCAGTGTCCGGCAGCCTCGCCTCTGTCAGTGCGCCCCAGGGTGGCTGTGGCTATAATGTAGCTGCCATCACCAGTGAGTGAATGTGTTTGTGAATGGGTGGATGACTGGATGTGTAAAGCGCTATACAAATACAGGTCATTTACCATTTATCAGCACAGACACACACATATTAACAACTGGCCCGTAATATTAACCGAAGAATTTGGAAAAAGCTCGCCCGAAGAGGCCCGGCTTACTTTGTCTTCCACTTCCTGTTTGAGTAGCTGGTATTTTCTGTGGAGAAGTGCATGCGCCTCCTCTTTTGTGCTCAGCTGTGCTGCCAGCTTATCACATTCATCCTTCATCCTGTCCAACTTGATGCGCAGCGCCCCACACAGCTCTTTGTCTGACGCTGCATCTGCCTAGAAGAGAGTGGATGTTTTTAATGCGATGAGACGCAGGTTATATTTCGAGATCGTAAACACGGGCGGTTTATCCGGGGCAAAAATTATCAACGTTAAACAGGTGGCAGTATTTGGGAATACTATGAGTAAACAGAACAGATACAAGTTCTCATGTCACTGATTTGAATCCAGATTTAGGGATCAGAATTTACGTGCCAAATTTATCAGTGGATCCAAACATCTTCAGTCAGTTCTTGCAAGTAAAAGCTGATTGCACAATACAACGTGACATTATGTGCTGCAAAGCCAGAGAACATCAAGTAACAGGTCAAGAGAACGAATAAATGGGATTTCCAAGAATCTGAAATGATTGTCTCAGCCCGTGATGACTGAGTCCTGCTCAAGCTTGCAAAGGCAAGCCTCAGATTTTAGCTTTCTATATATAATAATAACGTAATAACTACACAGGATACAGTAAAGTGGAATGAATGACAATTACTCAGGACCGGGAGTGACACAAACAGAGGAAAAAATGGAAAAGGAAAAACATTAAAAGCAAATAAATTCTAAGTGGAGGGAAGCAGAAAGAGCGATTAAGACGGAGCGAGGCAGGGGAGATGGAGCGGAGGAGAAATCGCGAGTAAGAGGACAAGGACATGGAAATGTGAATATTTTAAGCCGTTTCTGACAGTTGACTGTGTCACAACTGTAATACAGGCTTCTGGCTATGATATGTGAATATTGGGTGGGCTTCTGAGGGACATCTGCCGCCCCTGTAGGCTGATATCTAAAAACATTCCAGCAAACGCCCTTGTCCTTACCGCACTTGGAAATGGCACCATTACAATGAGCTATGTCAGATATTAATGCCATTCAGCGCAGCTAATGGGCTAAACTCAGCCATATCAGGGAGGACCATGCCCCTTAAGAAACAATGTACCCGGGAGGGCTCATCTTTGGAGATACTGAAGGTGGGAGGGGGGTGTGGGTGCAGTGGGACCGAGTCAAGTGAAGTTCCTATCTCCAACAGTTCCTTGATGAGACTTTAGGGGGTCTGATATCTGGTTTTTAAATATTCATGCTTGCAGCTGTAGAATGGCCCCACAGATCCACAGGGCACCACACACCATTAAAAGCTCAGCTATCCTCGATTCACCAGTACTCAGAGGACGGGGTCACGACCAATGAAGAAAATTACGCTAAATGAGAATTTAGTCTGTGTCTCACTGGGTCGGAAATATACCAGATGTTTAGCTGCTGGGGTACGTTACCCTGCACTGGATTTGTAGAAATGCCAATTAAAGTTTGGCACCCTGTGATCCATGCCTGGGTAGGGACACCTTGAACATCTGAAAAGGTTTAACAAAATAAAAGCATTTGATGCAGTTTTTAGAGTTTAGCTTTGATGAGGAATATTTAAAAAGAGAGAATTCTTGGATTTGGAGAATAAATAGCTACAGCGAGCAGCTTAGCCCAGAATAAAGACTAAAAAGAGCAAAAATAGTTTTGTTCAAAGTTAATAATCTATTCCTTGTATTTTGCTTAATCCTCAAAAAAAGCCTGAAGATTGTGTGTCAGACTATTTCTGGGCTGTTAACAGTTACCACACAGCTAACTGACACTCATGTAAATAATGCCTCTGGATTTTTTCACTCTTGCTGATACCAGTGATTGTACTAAGCTATCCATTTCCACATTAGCTGTACAACATCTTAATGATCACAGCTACCTTCAGCTCTCTCATTTGTGCCCGTGTTTCGTCTCGCTCCTGACAGCAGACCTGCAGCATGTCCTGCACCTCACGAGCCTTCTTTGCATTGCTGTCCTCCATTGTGGCCTTCAAGCCGCCTAGCTCCTTCTGATGCACCTCTCTCTCGAGCTGCAGCTGCTTGCTGAGCACAGTCCGTTCTTCCTGTAGCGCTGTCAGCTTGGCCTGAAGCTCTGATGTGCTCTTTTGGAGCTCCTTCCTGCAGTTCTCCTCTTCAGACGACCGCTGGGCGAGCTGGGCGTGGGCTGCAGTCATCTGCTTCAGGGCAGCCTGGAGCTCAGCGTGTGCGTCCTGGTCCCTCTGAAAACGGCGAGCTTGGGTGTCAGCTTGTTCTTGCACCCTCTGGTTCTCTTCTTTCAGTCTTGCTCGGACGGCGGCCTGACGCCGAGTCTCATCCTCGAGGGTGGCTGAGGCCTCCCTCACCTAGGGTTGGGAGTCCTGTTAGGATCTTATCACAGCTCATGACTCTAATTCACCATCTTATATGGATTTTTGGATTTTACATGAAAAATAAAAAACAAATAAGCAATTAAAAAGGAATTACTAAGATTACTCGACTGAGATTTTTCAATAAAATCCCTGCAGTGCTAAACACTGCTGCATATTTTAAAATCCTAGTAATTAAAATAATAAAGAAGGAGAAATCTATCTGGGTGTTGGACCCCACACCTCCCGGATTTCCTGCTGCAGTGACAACTGGCGCTGGTGTGTCTCCGACAGCTCCATGTCCTTGCGGTGGAGCTCCTCTTCGCGTTGGGCCAAGCGGCCTAGGATTTCAGCGAGCTCCCTGCGGGCTGCTTCAGTCTGCTGGCTCAGCGCCTTCAGCTGGGCTTGAGAGTTTTCCTTTTCCCTGGCTGCCTGGAGGGAGAGAGAGAGCGGGAGCAACAGAGAGAAAGAGACGGGTAGAGGAAGAGGAAAAAAAGATGAATGACGAATGACAAATGAAGAAGAGGAGGGAGATGGTGTACAAAGAAGAGCTCTGACAATGATGATGAGTGCATGAGAAAGAGTGACAGAGAGACGGAGCGGGGGGAAACATATGCAGTACCAGCTCCTGCACTGATAGGAAAACGCTTGCACTCAGCTTCTCGATAAGGGACAATGGTCAGGTCTGCTCAAGGCAGATTGCTTCTAATACTCCGGCTTTGACTGGAATTTGCAGAGACTTTGCAGCAGCTCAGAGCCTAATCATTTAATTGAGCACTTGATTCTCTCCCCTAATTCATTAAGAGGGCAAAAATGATTTTGTAATTAATTCGCATCACGTCGAGTGTGCCAGGTGGGAGTCGGTCCGACTGTCTGTCTGCGAGGCACGAGGTGCTGACTGCCAGTTTGGAGGTGACTCCTTCAGTCCGAACGGGACGGGAATCGATGGGGGGTGACGTCTAAGCTAATAACAATAGACGGGCGTTAATTATTTAACGAAACACGACCGCTTTAACATACCAAGCAACGGTAATCTATTTGTGGTCATGGCAGGTGAATTCAAAATGCATTATTCAAAAGTTTAAATTGGACGATGACACAAAGTCGTCCTCTATGACACGAAGACAACACGAAGGATGAATGAACACGAACAAAGAGAGAAGTCAGGGATGCAGTGATTCTGATGTTCATGCTTTTCCTGATTTCTTTCTTATAATTATTGTTACAATGGTGGATGCTCATATTAATATCACCAGACTTTTAAATGATGTACTTGTAATCCCTAAGAGGTCAAATTTCTGGTGTCAGACTGCGATTAACATCCTTTCACATTCAGTTTTTTCTACTCCTCCTTCTCCTTGATGTCACTAAGCACTGCATCAAGGCCCAGTAAAAGGTAAATAAGGATTATTTTGCCAAAGCTACTTTAGTGAGCCCAAAAATAAAAGGTTTATATAAATTCACTTCATTCAATGAAGTGGCTCAGCCAATCACATGGCAGAAACTCGGGGCATTTTGGCACGTAAACATGGTCATCACAGCCGAGTCAGGGAATAGGGGAGAAAGGTGATTTAAGGGACTTAAACGTGGCAAAGCTGTGGTCTGAGAGTTTGAGTAACTGCTGATCTGCTGGGATTTTTCTTGCACAACCATCTCAAGGGTTTATAGAGAAGAGAAAATATCCAGCGAGAGGCGGTTCTCTGGGCAAAAATGCTTGTCGATGCCAGAAGTCAGAGGACAATGACCAGCATCAACTCCACTTTAAACTCCACAGCCTGCCTCAGTGGTGTTGCTGAATGTGTCCATGCCTTTAGGACCACAGTGTACCGATGTTCTCACAAAGATGCTGCAAAGTTCAAATAATCTCTGGGTTCTGGAACATGACAGTGAGTTCACTCAAATGGCCTCGACAGCTGCCACGTGTGAATGCAGTTGAGCACCTGAACGGAAAATTCACGTAATAAATGCAGCTGAAAAAAAGCTGCAGGAACTGTGTGATGCATTAAAATCTGTGGGGAATGTTTCCAGCACCCTGCTGTATCGTGTAGCCATGAAGCATTAAGGTGAGTCTGAAGACAAAAAAAGGATCCAGGTGAGGTATACCTAATGAACTGTCTGCTGGTTACACGTTTTCTTGTCTACAAGCAGAATCAAGCCTCTTATGAGGATTTACAATTGAAATTTGGGACAGGAAGCTGATGACATCACACCATTAGCATGTTCTTAGCCAACCTTTGATTACATTTGCTCACCTTACACTTTCAGGCTCCTCAGGTGCTCAATGACCTCTGGGGTCTGGGCTTTGTAACACATGGATCACACAGTGGGAATTGTGTCATTATCCAAATCATTAACTGGACAAATATTTCCTGTTTGTGCTGGATTTTGGCTCACAGGGCTTCATGCTCCTGTTGTAATGTTCTGTCTATATTCTGAGTTCAGATTGTGCTTTTTGTTGACTCCTGTATATTTGGTTTAAAAGTCCATCTAGAAGAATTATCTCAGATTCATTGCAATACAAACTTCCCAAATATGTTACAACAAACATTTAAACAAAATAAACACATTTTACAACACAGCTAGAAACACAAAGTTGCTAACAAACATGAAACATCAGGAAAACAGGACAGGCTGTAACTACTAGTTTTGTGGTGCCCATAACGTCCACATTAGTTGCCAGTATTATGTTATTAAGTATTATGTATGTAACTGAAGCCTGTATCCTGACCTCACTGAGCAGCACAGCTACAGAGTTTTGTTTCTCCCCGCTGCCCGAGGCGTCACTACTGGAGCTGATAACTGCATTTTAGTACAGACATTATTGATCACTTCACTTTTCACAACACACCATCAAAGTCACAGAAGTTTTGCGTGAGCCAGACTCTGCTGCTAAGACAAAGCAACAAAGAGGCTTGGTCCAAGCTAACAGTGCTGCCAGCTGGCTGGTAGCTAGCACAGCCTGCAGCAGCAGCAGCAGCAGAGGGCGGAGGTGGAGCATTTAAGACACAACTGCCACTAATGCTGAATTTATGCTGCAGTTTCCCACCAGATCCAGCTAGATTTCCCACAGTGAACCTTTGGTGGTTCACCTGAGAGCTCTCACTTTGATCAATTATAAACCGAAAGAGCTACCAGAGCCAACAGAGCAAAGTGGTTTTAGCAGTCCTGGTTTAACTTGCGCTAATACACATTAAAAGCTAACCTGTGGCACGATCTTGTACACAGTACAACGTATTCTGTACGTAAACACTTTTTTCACGTTTCATTGCAAAGATGAAAGCCTCTCACATGGTTTTAGAGTTAAAATAACACGTTAATATGAACCCAGGCTGGACATTCACACATGATTCATGCAAAATGTTGTTTTGCAGAAGCAATCAAGTGATTCAGCAGTCTGCAGCCGTAAGGTTATTTGACACAGTGGGTGGATTAAAGAAAACAGCCAAAATCAATGAAGTGGATGCTGAGATATTTAGATTTTCTGGCCCTTAATACGGGTCAAGCTCTTAACGCTGACATTTCCCATAATGTCACTCATTAGCACCTTTCATTAGACCCCGGCTGAGTCCAAATCAGGAGAGCGAAGTGCTGCTTGAGATAAGGAAACCAATTTTGATGTGTGAAATTGGCAGAGTGCCCATTTTGAAAAGAGCAAAGATGTAGTTTTACAGAACGGGGCAGATGAGTTCACTGGAATCAATGACGTTTTAAGATTCTTGCTTTTTATTTCAGCGCTGAAAGTCAACATTAACAGGATCAGCTGCTTCTGTGAGCTGTGTCCAAATAAACTGTTATGAAAGCATCTGCTTCAACTAACCTGTGAGGCCTTGTCAGTATGAAATTGAGCCCGAGCCCTCGCCTCCTCCAGCTCCTTCTGCAGTCTCCTGCACTTTGCCCTCCACTGGCGCACAGCCTCTTGGGCTCTGGTCTTCAATTCATCTCTGCTCCTTGTGCTCTCGAGGAGTAATGCCTCCGTCTCTCTCCTCTCTGCTTGCCCTCGGCTCTGAAAGGAAGACTGAATTTATGAATAAAATGTATATTCATCCTTTAGAATATAAAATCGTGTGCAACCGTTCCCATACAAGAAGAATCTCAAGCATCTTATTACCACAGGATTAGTTTATTCACATCTTAATATTAAAATCTGATAAAGTTGTGGCTTAGAATAAAGAGGTAAACATCATGAGATTGTACTTGAGTATAAAAGGTTGATTATTTAAGCTACCTGTATGTCCCTCAGCTGTTCCAGCATTCGCTGCTGCTGTTGTTCTCGCACCGCCAGGTCTGACGATAATTCCTTGTATATATAGAAAAGAAAGGTCAAGGTGTGTGTCTCTGTGGAGCAGAGAATTGCATTTTAGATTATTTCAGTGAGTGACTATTGCTAGTGTGAGAGGAGGAGGGGGGGAAGCAGGAAAAAGGGAGAGTGGAATAATGGGTTTATGGAGGGTAGGAAAAAAGAAAAAGGAGGAGAGAAGCAAAGAAAAAAAAGGTGTGATATATTTAGAGTAAAGATAAAGAATAAAGCGTTGGCATGACAGAGCTAAGAAAGAGACAAAAGACAAAGACAGAGAGAGGTCAGAGGCGGCTGAGGGTGTTTGCACGCTACGTACAATTGGATTATCTACATCGCTGGTCTGAAAAGTAATCTAAAAGAAGAGTTGCTCTGGATTAACGTAATATCCACAAGAAAATCACAATCACTTTGAAGTTTGCACGTTTGAAGTGGAAAGCAAGGGTAAATAAGGTTACCCTGTTGCCGTTTAGGCGTTTATACTGACTGAGGCTGTCAGTTAGGGGTAATTAGTCATACACTGATTAGTCATAGACCTATTAGACTGTATATAAATTCAGCCACTGAAAAATTGAATCTTCCATCCCATTCTCCTCATTATACTTCATTTTTCTCATTTACCACTAAAAATGAAACATTTCCAACGTCTATTTCGATTTAGACATAAAAACCGCACGAGACGCCCCAGGTGATACATGCAAACACCCGCATATTCTCTCAACACCTACTCTGCAATAGGGGAAGTGTGGGTGTTTAAACACATTTCCAGCAAAAGAAACATCAGAGATTAGAGAAATGTGCCAATGCTTGAAGTGCAGCTATTTCTACTAACAATTTATTGATACCAACTGCAGCCTTGAACGCCCCTACTTTGCAAGGAATTGCAATACTCTTTTTTTTTCCCTCCTTCTTCTTCTTCTTACATCTTGTTTCAGTGATGGGAGTGACACATTGCACCAGTTTGAGAAGGATAAACGACTGCCTGTTGACTCCTGATCTATTCCAAATGTCGCTTCATCTGACGATATAAAAGGGATGAAGGGGTATGGAGCTGGCAGGGGATGCGACCGTGGAGGAGAAGCAGCAGACCCACATACATAACCTCAGCACGGGGTGGAGACAACAGCATGGGCAGAATCAAAAGCATGCTTGTGATGTGTTCATTTGAACTCCAGCTGAGACTTCTTTAGTCTTTGGAGTAAGACGACCCGAGAAATGCACCGTCTTTCTTTTTTGAACCACCTGCGACTCGCACACACCTTCAACTGTAAGCTGAGCTGGACCCTCTCCCTCTCTTTACAGTCCAGAGCCCTCTTCAGTTCTTCGACTTCACCACGGACCGAGGCTTTGCACAGCTGAACGCGCAGTTCTGCCACTTCCTTTTCCAGGTCTGAGCGATCTATTGACACATGCACACCGCTATCAGCAGACGTACATCCACAGAGTGCTGTTACTGCACGGGGGAAACAAAATATAAACAAAAATGACAATCAACAGGTAAGCAACAGCATCGGGGTTTTGGGTTTATTTAATAAGGGAAATGTAATAAGATTCAGTCTCAGTTTATTTTCACAACAGCTGGTCCCCCCAGGTGCCACACGGCATCTTCCCTCTGCTCCTAGAGCTCACAATGGGTATAATGCCGTGGATGATATCCTCTACATGGGTCACTAACGTTAAAAACATCTGGCGAACAGAATACAAAAGTAGTGAAAAATTGTGCGACTCATGAAGGATTCTCCACAACTTAAATACTGATTTGTAGAAGCACGCTATGAGGATTTAATGAAGTTATTATGAAGTAAGAAATAATCTTTCACTCAACCTAATACTAAACAGCACAAAACCCTTACATAAGCTAACCTTCTAGAAAGCGTGAGACACTCAAAGAATCTCTCATTTTGGAGCTTTCACTGCCTTTAAAGACACTTTGATGTCCTGAAATCAATGTTGCAAAAAAAAAAACAGAGACGCACAGAGTTGGATTTTCAATATTTTTCTCAAATATACTCTCAATTTTCTCTCCTTTCATGGTAATAAATCTTTGATATTCTGTGTAGTTCAAATCAATCCTCAGTCCTCTCACCAACGTTTACGTTTTCCTTTCACCATCTTGTTTCTTGGTGGCACTGAAGCCTTTTTACTTTGCTCTGCATTAACCCACTAACCAATCAAACCTTCTGTAAGATTAGCTTCTAACTGTAACTGTTACCGTATATTTTCTAAGTAGAGTTTCAGTAATTACAATTATATTTAAAGGGGAACCAATTTTGCTCATTTTCAGCGCTTTATTTTTATTCTTGAACTCAACTAGAGTCGTTTTACACTTTGCATGATTTACTGTTAAATATAAAAAATACTGTTCTTAATCTTTTATTGGGCATTAGTGCTGCCTCTGTGTCCATCCTCTCTATGAAACACACAGTTTTGAGCCCCAGTCAAACACGCCTACAGACTGGTCTGCAACCACTGGTCATGAGAGAAAAATGTGTATTCCTGCTTGCAAATTGTTCCTGGAGGTTGGTGGCAGCTTGTGTGAAACTAATTGCTAAAGCACCACTCACGCAGCTCTAGAGACGGGTCAGTGACTCCCTGGTAACCACCAGTTGCTAGGGAGAAGTGCATATTTCCTGCACAGTTGGCAAGAGGTTGCACGAGATTGCAAAAAATGTCATGTTAGAATGGTTGCACCAAAAACGTCCTGGAGACTTGTGTGCTTGTGTGCTCTTCTTTCAAAGGAGTGGAACTGAAAAGTGCAACGCAAATTGTGAAAGCAATCACAAAAACGTGCAGCGCCCTCTTTGCACAACAACTGATTTCCCCTGGCAACAGCCTGCAACCACTTTCCAGACATTCAGGGAGTACA